AAGGCTAAAACTATATTATTTAATAATTATTAACTCATGATAATAAAGACTTATCAGTGGCACTCTGAGTGACGTAGGATCAACCCACCGCGAATTGTTGCTGATTGGGAACTTAAGTTCCGAGTACCGTGGCACCTCCTTAGCCATCAGATCATCCTTTAAGGCCACGTGTGTGCTGAGCAGCATCAAATTCGTGAACTAACGATAGATTGCTTTACGCATCTGGTATCGTGGCGATTCGCTAGCTGCAAGATTAGGCTAATCTGATGTTGTGGCTCACTTAATGCCACTAGATCACACTGTGCTCTAGATGGTTGTACTGAAACAAACAAAAATATTTAGTCCCACATCAGAAGTTTGCCATCATTTAACTTGAATATAAATCAAAGATTTTCTGTGTTAATAGAGATCCCTTCTCCCGAAATAAAATAATACTCAAGACCATCTTGGGAGAAGGCAATACGGTGGTCTATCCTCGCACATGCACGTATGTACGGGTGCTCCTTGCCCCATGATCGGTTGGCCACCAAGACATGGAAGGGGAGTAATGCACATGTGCACAAAGCGAGGCCTTCGTCACTCCAGCCCAACTCGTGGCTTCCCTAATCTGGGTATACCCACTCGACCATTGTTCCCCCTCTAGATCAGCTGCCGAGTGCTGATTTGCTAGTGAGTAGAAGCTTTTTTTATATCTTATTCTTTTTATTTTAATAATCAAAAATTACACTAAGTATTTGAACTTCAAACTTTTAAAATTAACAATATATCCTATATTTATTTTTCAAGTTAAAAAAATAAAATCAAATAATAAAACTAATTAAAACACATAAATTTAGCCTTGACAACATCCAACTTAGAAGAACCGCATAGTTCTCCGACATTACAACTTGGTGCTGAATCTCAAGCCACACACCTTCATCACTAATATGAGAGTACTCGATCACTACTACCATAATAGCTGCAACCCTCAAGAATTCCGAGTTATAGTCTAAACTACACTCAAGAATGAGGTAAAGAAATCATGAACATTATTTTATCCAAACAACATGCATGGGTCTACCATATTCATCCAAAACTTAACATTGATATTTTAAATATATTAATTAATTTATCTTCTTTGCTCAGCTGCAAAACTTGTTTCACCAATATTGACCAATTTTTTAACTTATCACTTAATTTGAGGTTAGAGAATAAATCTAGTTGATCTAATTAATCTCCAAATGAAAGAATGCATCCTCAATTTAAAGCCCTTTATCCATAGAATTATGGTAGTAACACATTTCCTCTACTTTCAATTTTGTCTCCAAATGATGCATTTTACTTTGTTCAATCTTCTTCACTTAAAATTGTAAACATTTTCTATCTTAACTCCATAATGCAACCACTCTTCACTGATGTCTCCATCAGTTGATCCCAAGTCTTATATCTATTTCATGCCCAAAAATATTAACATAACCATAGAATCAATATTTGAAGGAGCTTGGAGCACTTAGCCTTTTTTATCTGACAAAAAGAGAGAAAATAGACAACTCTGCAATGAAAATGCCACCATTCCCAAAAACAAATTTAGATCTTGTTAAATAATGGGGGAGTGAAGCAAAAGAAAGTATAGGGGAAAGGAGCACTAAGAGAGGGGGAAGGTGGACTTCTATTGTTTATATTGATTTATTTTTAACTTTATCTGAAGTTTTTTTTGGTTGAACTTAATGTTTTTACTTGGGTCCAAACATTCAAATTTTACATTGCACTATCTAAATTTCTGACATGAATAGTTCCATACTCGCACAAACAAAAGCTTGAACATACATACACCCATAAATGTTATGATCAACATATGAAGTATTTCTAAATGTAAAACTCACATTTATTGGCCTTCATGAGTTGCATGTATAATTTTTTCATCATAAAAAAGTAAGAGATTATTAGATTTTTAACTATATTTTGTTATGATGATGGAAAATACTCATAAGAGTATTAATGATAAAATTATTCTTGATATATGATTACATAAGATATTGTTTAAAAAATAATTCAAGATAAAAATATCATATTTACAAGTGTCAATTCTTATATTTTATTCTTGAAACATAATATTGAGTTCAATTAGTGTGCTGATTTTACTTTGTTAAAGTATTCCTTTGTATTTCCAATAAAAGTATCAATATCTACAGAAAGCAAACAATGAAGAAATTAATAATTAGGACAATTAAATAAACAAAAACTTATAAACTTCCATATGTGTGAAAACTTACCTACTCTATTATGTACCCATAATTTTTTATCTTTTGAAATAACTATAGCATCAAATTAATCATTTGAATTCAAATTGCTCATCGCACATGATTTTCTCAATATTATCAAATACACTTTGAAACTGATTTTTAATATTCTCAATCACCAAATCATGATTAAAATATTGAGATCATGATTTTTAATATGCTTCATAATGTGATAATTTGGATAAGTTTTGGTCGTTAAATCATTATTTCTTTAAGACTCACAGTACTTATTATATTGTAGTAATATCATACCCTCACCAAACTTGACCAAACCAATATGCTTCAGATTCAGATGTTTTATTTTACCATATTTATTTCTAAAGAGGATATCTAAATATTCAAAGAAATTATTTCTTTTTTAGTTTTGAACTTTCTAACTTGTTTTGGTAATATAGATATTGGGAGACAATAGTTGCAAACTCCAACCAAGTCATGTGAGTTAACTAATCTTCATAAGTTTATTTCTTTGCCATAATGAGTACTGATAAGTCTTCATTATCATGAGTTAATAATTAATAAATAATATAGTTTTAGCCTTAACTCATGATAAATAGACTTATATTTGTGTTAAAGTGTGAAAAGTGGTTTTCTGTTGATTAATGTGAATTTTTGAGTAATTATGTGATTTTATACAATTTTTACAGTCTTACTTTTGAGATAAATAAAGAACAAGAAAAAAAAATAAAAATATTACAAAATGGAGGGACCCACCAAGCCTGCAAGCGGGTCAAAAGCTCAGTCAAGGAGTAGCCGCGAGCAGGGGCTCGAGCGGCTTGGACCGATAGGGGCACGAGTATGCCATTCCCCTTCCATGTCACCAGTGGCCAGCCAGCTATGGGGCAAGGAATGGTGGTACACGCGAGAGAAGGAACTTTACTTAGAAATCTAACATTACTATATATTCACCTGAAAAATCAGCACACAACCAATGTGGGACTAAACCCATGTCACACCTTTCTTAGAAGAGGCGGGCAATTGACACGGGTTCAAATCCTCCTAGAGCCAAAACTCATATTTTTATCTAATTGTCACGACTTTCTTGTAGATCACCGGTGAAAGATTAAGCAACCAGAATCGTTGGATCATTAGTGAAAAATCTCATCAACGCGATTCGTGGAACATTGTTACTCAAATTGTTGAAGGATTCGCAATAAAAGGATCATGAATCCATCGAGTAAATCAACTCCGATTGATCGACGAACAAGTCGTCGTCAAGAAAAGGACGATCCGCTGAGAGACGAGTCACCACCTCGAGAGCATACCAGATGCAATGAAGAGCCTCCTCTTGTTGTGCAGACCTAAAGATGAAGCTCCCTAACACACACCCCACCTCCATCTAGCTTCTCTCCGTCGGGTGACAGCCACCAGAGAGCCGCAAAGTTGCCGTTTTTCTATTCCGTCGGGTGACAGCCGCCAGAGACAATTCGACGACCCATTTCATTAATCTCTAAACTTTGCAAGGAGATATAGAGATTGCCCACATCGTCTTTGTCTAAGGAGAGCCTTCGAGGCCGTAGACACTACACGACGATCCTCTCGAACGCTCAAGATTCTAATGCATCGTCGGCGCATTGCCGTCACGACGCTAGGACTTTGTTTTCCTGCTTTCAACTTACTTTACGCTTCATTTAGTGATAATTTGTGTGATTTTAATTTACCAAAATATACTTTGTTCTATTACGATTCTTCCAGCTTTTATAGATCTTAATTTGATTAATTAAATCGTCTGTAATCACTTACGTAAGAATCGTCAAGCAGAACTCTATTTCTACCCGATTTACGTTCACAAGGTGCTGATGTCATCCTGACGTCCATACCCTTATTTTCCTTTTTCGTGAATTTTAAACATATTTCCTTTTCATTTTCTATTAGAAAATTTATAGAAAATCATATTCATTGAGAAAATTTTATAATAATTACCAGATATTATATTACATCCATGTGATCGACTTGGGAAATTACCACTATTTTTGAAAGTTTTATTGAATTATAATTGATATATTTATTTAGAATTACTTCTAAATATCAAAAAATTCGTATTTTCTAGTTTTATAAATTTTAGATTTACGAGATTTAATATACAACGACTAAGTCATGTCAAGTACATAAGTTTGTGTGTTTTATAAAAAAGCTATCATAAACTAAAATTATTTCCTACACATGTAAGGTTTTATTTGTGTAGTTGAAACATTGAGAACGTTACCATGTCAACTTTAATATTACATATTCATTAGAAGTAAACATTTAATAAAGTATAAAAATTAATATGGAACAAATGATGACTCTTTTCAACTAAAGATATAAATTGAAGTAAAAAGAAACGAGGACAATTGTGTGACATGTTAAACATTTTCCTTGGAATATTATTATCTAAACATAAAAATAAGTAGGTTTTATCACTGACTGTTATTTTTAAAAGTTATGGAATTTTTATTTCTATTTGAGTGAATTCATTCCAGCATAGGAACATTTTGGTTGTTAATCAGTGGATGACTAAATGGTAGATATTCAAACAAAGCATACACACTTTCATATATACAATTACACAAAGAATTTACTTGTGAAATAAGTGTACCAAATGACATCACAAAATCTAATGGACATGAATTTGCTATTAATACAAGGTATTAATACAAGTTTGTTGAGAGCTAAAATACATGGGGAATCTATTTGATGACTAAAAAAGTTTCCCTTGATATTCTTTTATCTTGCTGAAAAGAGTTACAAACCATAAGAAAGAGTTACAAACCATAAGAAAATTCTATCATATGAACGATTAAATAGTAAAATGGAAAATGTTACTAAAAAGAAGGTCACAAATGAAGACACAATAAGACCATATAAGATGCCTTTGGCCTTGTCATCGTTATCATCTCCATCTTGTGGAAGATCACTACTCTTCGAATTGCAGGCATCATCTATTGGAACCCCATGTAAGTCTGCATTGCCTTCATAAGAACTGTTATCGAATGTATGAAACTGTCCTTTCAAAGGTGGTGTGCAACCTTTCAAGCGATTGTATGCAACCGAAAATATTTCCAAGCTTGAGAGTTCCTGTAACTCTGATGGTATTGGGCCTTCTAATTCATTGTGGGATAAGTCCAAGCTTTCAATACTCGTTAGAAGGGATAATGTCCTAGGGATTAAGCCAGTGAGGCGATTGTAGGAAAGATTGAGTGACTTTAGTGATTTAAGATTTCCAATTTTTTGTGGAATTTCTCCTTCTAAATGATTTGATGATAAATCCATGCCGACCAATAAGTACAAGTTATATCCTCTAAAAGTATGAAAATTCCCCTTCATCCTGAATGTTGCATCTTCCATTGCTATAGGCGTCATAGGCTTCTGATAAAGTATTTGCTGAAGACTAGATCCCAAGTCAATTTCGAGGTTGCCCTCCACTCTTCTACCAAGACCAGAATTATCTAAACATTCTGGAATAACTCCTGAAAGACTACTCTGAGAGAGATCTAACAAGTGAAGATAACGTAATCTGCATTGATGGGTTGGTATCTGACCATAAAAGTTGTTCCGACCGAGTAAGAGCATTCTTACGCGTCGTAAACCTTTTGTCCAGTCCAGATTATCAGTATATGAGTTACCTCCAAGATTTAGAAATTCAACTTGTGCAAAATCGGTAAACTTGTCGTGCACTTTCCCGGACAGGTTGTTCACCGCCAGATTTAAATGATTTAACTTCATCAATTGTGAGCACTGAGGAATAGCCCCTGAGAACGTATTGTGCGACATATCTAACACGGTGAGTGACTCCAGTTTGCAAAGATCATGTGGAATTTCACCATGAAATTCGTTGCCTCTTAGAACAAGAGTAGATAATTCCTGGGAATCCAATATAAACTCAGGAACTTCACCAGACAATTCATTATCACGCACATCAAATATTTCAATATTTTGGATGCTTGACAAGCTGTGAGACAAGCTAGTGAAGCTGTTGCCGCCCAAATAAGAGATACGGGGTAGGTTTCCTCTTATTTCCCCAGATAACATGTTGTTCTCAATATCGAAGAATACAAAGTCTGATTGATTTGGTAATAGGGGAATTTCACCACTGAACTGATTATTTGAGAGATGGATTACCACGTAGTTCATCATTCTCTTTCCGAATTGTAAGGAAGGAATGCTTCCAATGAGCTTGTTTGCTTTCAAACTCAGGATATTTAGACTAGGAAATATAATACTGAAATTTTCCGGCAATGTTCCCCCAATTTTATTATCAGCGACATCTAAGATCATCAATCTCGAAGGTGTTTTCAGAAGAGGAAATTCCCCTTCCAATGAGCTATTTCTGAACTGCACTTGCTCTAAATTTATATTGTTCTCAAACAACCAAGTGGGAAGTGACCCTGAGATGCCACTATTGGAAAGGTCAATGTAAGTCAAGTAACGCTGCGACTGCAAGAAGAACGATTCATCAAGGTTTGGATTCTTGCTTAGATCGCAGTCAGAAAGAGCCAGCTCCGACAATTGGAGGATCGAGACTGGCTCTCCATAATCCATTTGAACTCTCAACATAAAATTTCCAGAGAGTGAAACGACACGAAGCCTAGAGCATTTGGCAAGATATTGGAACGAGAAATTTTCCCTGAGATTGTTGTCATCAAGACGTAATTCTTCCAATGAAGATAGACTGTAGAATGCAGTCGGATGAATTTCTCCTTCTAGCTGATTTCCACTCATATCCAAATGTCGAAGGGATGTCATATTCCCAAGAGATGTGGGTATCCTCCCCTTAAATCTGTTGTTGTTAATCTTTAATGTGGCCAGCTTCTTTAGGCACCCCAAGAACTCAGGGATCTTCCCTCCCAAGTTGTTCCAACCGATATCTAACAGACCCAGCTCGCTTATGTTCCCAAGAAACTTCGGCATCTCTCCTATTAGAGAGGTTTGTCGCAGATGCAATTGATGAAGGGAAGACATGTTACCTAGAATAGAAGGTATTCCTTTGTCCAATTGGTTTCCGCTAAGATTGAGGATCCTCAGCTTCTTTAAATGGCCGAGAACATTAGGTACGCCCACTTGAAGTCTATTTCCCGTGAGGTCCAAGGCGTGTAAATTGCTCAAGTTTCCTATAAAGGTTGGTATCCCTCCTCTCAAGTTGTTGTAACGAAGATTCAATACCTCTAGGTTGCTTAGTTCTCCGAGGCAGTCTGGTAAAGCCCCCCCCACGTCATTCCTGATGAGATCCAATTTGGTCATTCCATTTAAGCTTCGTATGGAGCAGGGTACCTTACCTTCCAACTTGTTGGAGCTCAAGTCCAGAACACTAAACTTCTTCACGGAAGTCAAATCTGCAGGAAATGTAGGCAACGTCAGCTCATCCAACCATTAACCTTTCTTGACCTAGAATGAAAATGGGGGATGCTGTAAACGATTCTCACATGTTCTAAATTACAAAGTTATGTAGTCAAGTGGTACTTTTTAGCTTATTCTGCAATATTATATGAATATAAATCATTGCATGAAACCACGTGTCAGGCAATCCTAGAAGCTCAGCAGGGTGACATTTTTCCAGTTATATGTCCTCAAGAGGAAAATTAGTCCACTGTGTCCTTTGTGACCGACTGGGCGAGGCCCCAGAGTCACATGTGCAAGTAAATACGTAAAATTTCACGGTGCCAGAGAAGACCTGTAGGACCTGAAATGGCAGCGGCCATGCAGCCATTAATCCGGTTACCGGAGAGGTCGAGGTATTCGAGCTCGGCGAAGGAGGAGAACACGCTGAAATTCAGAGACCACGGATACGCCGGATCTGGGTATCCGCCCAGCTTCCCCAATGGAGCCGCGTCACCCGCCCGGATGCATCACTGTAGTTGACCAATGGCCAGCCACAGCAGTCGCCGGTGCCTTGGGTCCAAGAAGAGAGCAACTTCGAGTAAGAGTCGTCCTTGGCGCTATCCAGCGAAGACCTCAGCTCCAGTAAAGCCGCCCTTTTACGGTGTAGGCACCCACCGCTCAGCGGCCATGCAGAGTTCAGCAGAAACATCACCAGCACCAGCCGCGGTCGGCAAACGGGAGGCGCGGTGTTCGCTGCTGCGGGCATCCTTCCCCAGCCTTTCCTGCAGACTTCCATCACTCACTCAACAGGCCTGCAATCCCCACCCCAGAGGCTGTTGGAGACGTGCCCACCACGTAACGTGCCCACTATATACACGTAACGTGCCCTGATAAAATTGATCATTAGTAGCATTACCTGGTCGGCAGGAGTTGCGGAGGAATAAGATCCAGGCAGGCTCTCCAAATTAAATAGAAGATGGTTTTGAAATCTCCACACCATACAATTCATCGACCGTTTCTATCCGTCCCATCAGATGGTTCTCAATGTACAGATGTCAGGAATTATAGACTGCATCTCCTGGGCCTTTTTCTGCAGCAGTATACATTGAAGGTTTAGGGTTAGGTGTAAGTTTAGGTTTAGGTTCCCTTTTAATTAGTAAAATCTTCTCCTTTACTAAAATCGTAGGTCCCCACTGTAGTAAGATGAGAGCAAAGTACCATAGAAAGAGACTCGAACCTCATGAGCGCGGCAGAATGGAAGCATTGAAGTCGGTGCCCCCCCCCCCAAACCAGGTCAGCCTTATGCTACAGACGTTGGGCCATTCAGCAAGGAAATCAATTAACATCAGTGGAGGAGGCATGCTTTTATATTTTTCTTTCCATAAGAGCTAATTCAGAGCTATTACTAATAAAACCCATCAATTCTGGTTTGGGGCTTCATGTGTTCTTGACCTAGCCTAGCCATCCTTTCCTAGACCTCAAATTGTTAAAATCGAAAAAATTCACAATAGAGGCCCAGCAGCCAAACCCTAACGGAGATGTGGTAACAAAAAAAATAGAAGCCTGTTATGCCCCTTTGCATGATGTCCAGTGATGGCTTTATACACATCCACATTTATTTATTACAGATGCAGATCTTCCCATCACGGAGGGCATTTATGTAAAGTTACATCTATCAGTACTGGTGGCAAACTAGAGCTATGAATTGTTTGGAGACTAGGACCGTCAATAATTGTACTATTCACTTGCCCATAAAAGGGGATATCCCTACTAGAGACAATCAAAGGTGTCATCGTTCCATCTAGCCACTGCAACGTTTTACTACCTGGTCATATAAAACTCCCATCCATAGTTTTTTTAAGGTTTCCAACAATATTGATAATGGTAGCAAAAATCCCTTTGAATCAAACATAGTTTTCCATATATCAATATACTATTTACTAACCTTTAACTAGAAACCTCATTTAATCATTCCTATAAAAGAAGAAAAAAACTTTAATCCTATGCTTCATTTCAACTATAAAGAATTTACAAAATCTTGAGATCATCAACATAATTAACCAAAATCATGTCACGTATTGAATGTATCAATTATAGACAATCGTAAGATTTTCACTATAATGTTGAAAATATATGATTTTTAAATATTTTACACACACAAAACCCTATGTCATAGGGTACACAATTGTAGATTTTACATCCTATTTTTCATCAGGATTTTGTGTATTCTCTTGTAAGATAAAATACACAATTTAGACGCATATTAGCATGGGTATATTTTTACATAAGAGGAGAAAGTTACTAATCAGAAGTTTTTCAATCACCCTCAAAATAGCACCAACCTCTTGAAGCTCCGTGATATATTCCTCTATTAAAGTATTTATGAAGTTATTCCAAGCTTTTGGAACCTAAGTTGTTTTTCATGATAATGACATGAATGGAAAAATATTTTAGTATTTTCACACTAGTAGAATGAACATAAATGTGATTTGATTGTTGTGGTCTTGAGGGAAGTTTGTGAATTATAAGTGAAAGTTCTTTGAAGGCAAAAGAGTCAATAAATATATTTAATAAAATTAAAAACTTTGTTTGAAGGTAGTATATATTTGAACTTGAATGATACAATTTTGTATGAAAATTGATGTAACAAACATTTTCATTACTAAAAGAGGAATACAATAAAATAATTGCATGGAAGAACTCAAGCTCCCATATTTGTTACAGATATTAAAATACCAATGGATACTTCTAGAGTTTAAATTTCAGACAGAGGATGCAACACATTTCAAACTATTGGACTACTGTTGGGGCATCTCAATATGCTGAAAATCTAAAGGGATTGAAAACATGATAATCTTTAAGAAAAAATAAGATACAAGTCTGCATTTTAATCATTATTTCATGAAAAAATAATATGCAAATAAGAGTTTTGACAATGATATGAATTATTTTATGATTTCATAGTTATAATATTATTTTTAGTAATATTTAAATTTAAATTATTTATTTTTTATATGTTGAAGATACAAAGGAGGTTTTTGGCTAAAAGATGGGGGCAATCTAGTCTTTAGGCGCTCATGGTTTACCCTACAGAATGAATACATATATGCACCTCTCCTCTCCCAAATTCTCTTATCTCCCCATCTTCTCCCCTTTCTCTTCTCTCTTTGCTTTCTCGAGCTCTCTTTTCTTTTCATGTTCATCTATTCTCACTTATCTTTTCATGTGTGACAAGTAGGAAATCATTCCTCACTTCTTCCTTAAACATTTTGAATCTTTAGTTTTGAGTTTTTAGTGAGTCTTCATTACTCTCTCACTCTCTTTTGCTCTATCTTCTTGGGTAAAATATTGGAGTTCTTCATTTTTTTTACCTCTCTAGTGTCTTCTTCCCTTACTCTTTAAGATTCCATTACTTTTTTCCACATTCCTAATGTTTCTGGCAATTATTTGTACATTCTATAAACCCCCATTGGGTCCTCATATTCTAATATTTGTCTCTTGTTGACAAGTTCCATCTATTTGGCATGGTTTTTTCTCTCTATTTCTTTCCTTCATTAAATTATTTTCTTATTAAAATTATTTTTATTTGTTTTTTAATCGTCCTTTGCTATTTTATTCATCAGAGATTGTGAGCATTCTCATGCTCACGAGAAAACTCATTTTGATGCAAGTTCTTTCTTATTCTAATAATTTTTCTCCTTTTTCTGAAGCATTTTCCCTCCCTACATCCCATCCAATCTTTTCCATATGCTTCCCTTTTATTATTTGATTAATTTCATTTTTTTCTTATTCTCTCACTAGAATTATCATTTTCGTTGTCATTTTTCTCTTTTTTCTAACATATTTTCTCTCCACCCATGTCTTTTTTCTCCCTCATTTCCCCTTTTAATCAGTTTTCATGTTTTTAGCTGATCTCTTCCTCCATTTTTACTAGCAATTTCTTCTGCCAATGAGACTCCCCGTTTGTGAATGACAACTCTCTCTTGATCATGATTTTTCCTTGTATTAATTTAATTATCTCTTCTTCTCTCCCTCACATGTCATAATTGACCAGTCAAACCCCTTTGACCCCCCAATCCCGGGGCACTGTTATCCTTCTCACATGTCTCATATTGCCCCCTGTCCTATCGCCTATCACCCTCCTCTCTCCTTCTCCTCGTTCTTTCTTCTCTCCACTACGATGGATCCTTTTCACAACCTTGTGGATACAATGTGGCATCATCAACTTGTGCGCGATAGTGGATATTTATCCTCTGAAACCCCCTAGCCTCTATTTTTATTTATTTGTTAATTTAGTTTAATTTGTTTCTTTCTTTAGAAAGAAAATACTTGTTTTAGATAATTTTCTTTGATTATTCCATGAACTGTTTACCTTTGCAGAACACAAGATTCACATAAAACTGAGCGTACCATTTAACATAAAATGATCTGTGCATTAGGAACATAAACCCACTTTGACTAAAATTGTGAGATGATGAATTTTGAGAAAATTTCAAACAAAACTTCAATGGCCGCCACCTTCATCCAAGGGGCCTACACCAGATTGTTGCAATCTTAAATACTTGACAATTGCAAAGATTCATTGCTGCTCAAGCTCTTTAATGACTCCTTCACATTAAGCTTCTCTAATGATGAATCAAAAGATCAGGAGTCTTTGATAAGCATAAAGACGAAGGCCTAGAATAGTAACACATTTAGCTTTGCATTCAGAATGCATTGGTCCCCAAGATCCACCTAGAGGCTTAATTTAGAAGAGATTAGCTCGTGGTAATCTTGGTTGGCCCCGCAAGATCCTTGAATTTAAAAAAGATAGATGTGTCTTCTATATCCTGCAATCCTAGAGCTTTGAATCTAGATAACTGGGTTATTTTGTATTTGGCCCCATAGAGGCATGAAGATTTGGGTGGGATCTTGAGTTTACT